GAAGACAACCACCGCTGCCTCAACCACTGACCAGCCTGCTGCTACTGTTTTTGATGAATTTGCTGCCTATAAGAAAGCATGGAAGAATTGATAGGGTCATCTTGTGTGTTGTCGTGTACTGGTACTATGGAACAGATGATAGGGTCATCTTGTGTGTTGTCGTGTACTGGTACTATGGAACAGATGATAGGGTCATCTTGTGTGTTGTCGTGTACTGGTACTACGGAACAGATGATAGGGTCATCTTGTGTGTTGTCTAGTAACAGGCCAGTAGCCTAGCTTTTGCAACAGATTCAATGATAACACCTAGTAGATCTCAGTTGTCACAAAACGCTGTAGTTTGTGTCATGGTAGCCTCCTATGGTTGATTGTTGCCTTTTTGCTGCGTGTTTCTTAGGCAGTTGACAGGTGGTAGCGGTGTGCCAAAGCCACTGGTACCACAGTGCTAGTATGATGGAAACGGTGGATGTGAAGGTCGTCGGTCGTCGTATGAACGGGTGGTAGCAGTGGCTAGTCCTTGCAGGAAGAGGAGGAAGGTGGGAAGTCGACGCCTTGATGATACTGGTGCAAAAAAGAGAGCTGCAAACAAACTCTCAACCAACCAGTTCATAAGAAGACCGAAGCTCAGGTTGCCTTAGAACTGCTACTTGTATATCGGTAACTGCCTCCATTCATCTCCCGATACCCTTCGACCAACCGATCAAAGTAGCTAATAGACGACAACATCACCATGAGCCTTGCTCGAGCCGCTCTCGCAGTCCACGTCGTGAACAAGACGTTCTCGTCATGTAGTCTCGAGAAGGGTACCACCCACTCTGCCATGAGTGGCATGAGTATGTCAGAAGATGACGTTGACTACGAGCTACCCCGGGATGTAGCTGATCGATTGGTGAACCGCACAGAACTTCATGTGTCTCAGGTGATTTCTCAGTCCAAGTTTCTCCAGACGCACTGTGGCCTTTACGACCTACCCAGGTTCGCCCATGAAGACCTGAACATTGGACCCATGATTGCGTGTGGAGGCTTTAGCAATGTGCACGAGATTGAATTCTTCAAGATGGATACCCCATTGGTAGAAGGAGACAACGAAGGCAAGAGATAGCCAAGGATTTGGTTGCAAATTCGGTGCTTTGTTGCTGATGATGCAACTCGAGATCCTGTGTAGTAGCGGTAGCGAGACTGTTGCCGATCCTCTTCTTGTTGTTGGGTAGTTTCGTATGGTAGCGGTAGCTTCGTTTCTCGTAAATCCGCAACTTCCGCAACTTCCACAGCTTCCGCAGCTCGTTCCGCATGTTAGCTTCATGGTAGCTTCTCTTTCGGTCGCGGAAACTCGCTGGTATTGTTTGGTCGTCAACAACAATGAAGTGTCGGTCGTCAACAACACAACAACAACACCGATGGGCTCCAGCATGATCCAGACAACCTTTGAGCACCAAACCAAGTGCTCTGTGTTCGTTTTAGAGGTCAGGCTCTCAGACAGGCTCCCCGTAACTTCTTTAATTTCCTCAAAAACAACCTAAGCAGTGGGATTCACTCCTGCTACTGAGGTAGACCCCTGTCTGTTCATTTCGGACAAAGTTATCTGCCTGGTCTATGTCGATGACACCTTGCTCTATGCTCGAAACCAGGATGACATTGATATAGTTCTGGCAACATTGAGAGCTAGAGGAATGGTGCTGGAAGAGGAGGATGATGTCACTGGGTTCCTAGGGGTGCAGATCAAGCCAAATGCCTAAACTGGAGAAATAAACTTGACTCAGTCTGGCTTGGCTGCCAGAATCATTGATGCATTGGGATGTAAGGACATGCCTGGTGTGGACAGCCCTGCGACTGAAACTCTGGGAAAAGATGAGTTTGGCGATCCAGCAAATTGCACCTTTAACTATGCCAGTGTGATAGGCATGTTATGGTACCTATACGGTCACTCCAGGCCAGATTTAGGTTTTGCTGTCAGCCAAGCTGCCCGGTTTGCTTTCCAACCCAAGAGGAGTCATGAGCTCGCTCTGATCCGCATTGGCCAATATTTGGTGAAGACCCAGGAGAAAGGCCTCACAATGAAGCCAATTACCCCGGATTCCTTCAAGATGGATGCCTATGTGGATGCAGACTTTATGGGTCTGTACGGTATGGGAAGGAGACAAGGACCGATCCTGCCAATGTCAAAAGCAGGACTGGCTTTGTCATTTGCCTCAATGACTGTCCAATAGTCTGGGCGAGCAAACTGCAGCAGAGCATCGCCCTCAGGACCTCTGTGGAAGCGTCATTCGTGGCGAAATACTTAAGAGACGATACACCGAGGCATAGGAGACGATTGACAGGATTTAGGAGATGAAAGCAATCGTCTCCTATATTTAGGAGACGATTCAGTAGGAGACATTCCAATTAGGAGACGATCGTTTCGAAATAGGAGACGATCCGAAAGATTTAAGAGACGATACCATACAGTTTACATGGTACACTTAGGAGACGATCCGTTGAGAATAGGAGACGATCCGTTGAAAATAGGAGACGATTCAAGAGGAGACAAAAGATTTAAGAGACGATCCGTTTCGTCTCCTATTTTTAGGAGACGAAATCCATTAAATAGGAGACGATTAAAAGGATTTAGGAGACGATCGGTTGCACGACTCGAGTTTCCACAGAGGTCCAGCACTATGATGTCGGAATACTATGCGTTGGCCACCTGTATGATGGAGGTAATCCCATTGCGCAACACAGTGAAAGCTGTCGCCAAAGGGATGGGCATTAATGAGCATTGCTTGACCTCGTTCAAGACCACTGTCTGGGAAGACCACGTGGGAGCTCTAACTCTGGCAAACCTGGAGCCAGGTCAAAGCACTCCTCGCTCAAAGTTCTATGATGTGAAGGTGCATTGGTTCCGCAGTCATCTCAAGGCTGGTAAGCTCGAGGTGGCGAAAATCGACACAGCAGACCAGCTCGCTGACATGTTCACCAAACCTTTAGCGAGAGAAGTCTTCGAACGGCTTCGACTTCGTTTAATGGGCTGGTAGCGTGCTACAGCTTTCCAGTTTGCGGAGTAAAATATTTTCTTCTCCTCTGGCTCGAGCTACCTCTTGTCATCGCGCTGGAGCTAGCGGAAGAGATGTTGGCGTCGTTCTACTTGTGCAAACATCATTGCGCGCGCAAGCTAGATCTCGCCAAAGAGGGAGAACTCCTTTCTCGCCAACTCCAACTCTACCGAATTGATTGCATCACGGCAAGGGCACTCCAACGTCACCATGTCACGTCGCGCGCGATCTCCACGCTGTAATTTTCAACTTCAAGTCGTTGCTAGCGCAAAAGTTGATTTCCATCTGGACGTCGAAAACCACCACGCTGAGAAACCACGCCAATCAACACCGTTTTTGCGATGTGGGTTTCGCTCCAGAGGGAGCTCAACAACAACAACTTGATTTGAAGGCTCACAAATCGAAGTGGACCAACGATAGAAGGACTGCTATGACTACGAGCTGCACACACCCTGCATTTTATTATCTATTGCATATCTACTCCATCTTGAGATCGACCATGAAGCGCACCGGTGGAAAGAACATCAAAGCAACAAAAAGGGCCGTCGCAAGGTGCTTGTGGCTACCCCCAAGCAAGTTCCAGCTGCTGCTGAAGCTCCTCCCAAGAAGCCAGCTGCAGTGAAGAAGCCAGCCGCGAAGAAGCAAGCTCCCTCAAAGAAGCCAACTGCGGTAACCCCTGTTGCTAAGGCCGACCTTGCTAACAAGGTTGACATAGGAACGTTGCTACATGACCCCGCCGTCAGTAAGTTCCTCGCCCTGATAACCAGCCAGCCTGGTCAGTTCGCCCAGATCGCTGAACCAGCTGCTGTAGTCGCCGATACTCCAGCAGCAACCAACAACGACGATTCGGTCACCGATAGTACCAGCGTCGTGGAAGTCGTCGCCATCACTTCCAAGCCAACCAACAAGGTCTTCAAGACAACTGGAGCTGCCGTCGCGATCAAACAAGAAGGCAAGCCTGCCGGGAATGACAGCTCGAAGCTCGATGCCGACATGCCTGTTGTTCTAGTTCGATGCCGTCCAACTCAAGACAGCAGTCGCAATCTCACAGTCGAGATGGTCGGGAAATGTTCGTAAAAGTGATTAGTTGAAGGGGCTCCAGAGGGGATTATGTACAAGTACGGTACTACATTTCTGCAACAGTAGTTGCACAGGGTCAGTATGTGCTTCACACTACTATTTAGTGGATCTTACATACCCTCAGGATCCAGCACAGTATGCTACGTAGAAAGTCCATGGTATCAGCAGTCATTGAAACAAAGATCCTCTCAATAAGACTCTCACTATTAAATAAACTGCAACAGCCAAGATATAACAGGGGCGCCTGTATACATAAGACCAATCCACATACTGAGAGGATTCCAATTTCGCCCTAAGTATCCTAACACATACCGATTGGATTCCTTCCCACGAATCGAATCCAATGAGATCCACCGATCCACTCCGTTGTGGAATACTTAGTCAATCGAATCGTACGGTGTTGCCGCATACTCAAGGCAATCCCGTGCATAAAGAGACGAACAACGGGCAAATCCCTCGCGATCGATCGATCGTCTCCGTACAGGTACCGATAGCTAGCTAGCCAGTCAGTTCAGTTCAGTTCAGTTCAGTTTCAGTTTTCCTCATTATTTCCAATCCTTCAACTCTATAAAGGAACTCTGCCAAAATTCCAGCTCAACCAACAATTGCTTAGTTGACCAAAGAATTGCTCCACCATGGCCAATGCTGGAGCAGCCTTTGGGTTGGAGGACGTGCCGGATTTGCCTGAAGCACCCACGGAACAGCCCAAGTACAACCGGGATTACCATCGTCTCTTCGTCAAATTCATGAGCTGGCTGCACAAGAGGACATACACCAAGGCGGCTCGCTTCAAACCTAGTGCTTTGGCCGGATCCAACCACACCACGTTGCGACTACTTGAAATGGCGTGCGTATGGTACGACCGATGTTGACTTCAAAGACTCGAGCAGAATCCAACTTCCGCTCCTCTACTTTGAGCAAGACAAGAAGGCTATTCTTTCTACATGCCCATCAAAGTGCCACATGGAATGGAACCTCCGGCAATCCAACCAAGTCCGATCCTGTGAACGAAGTGGTCAAGGAAGTCAAGAAAGCGGAGAACTCAACACCGCGGCAAGAAGTCCTGTGCCACCAGGGATTTGAGGAAACTGAGTATCGCAAGGTGGTCCATGAACTCTACGGCAAAGGGAGCTTTGAATCGACCATCCGTACAGCCTGCATGTTGAAGCAGCAAGTCCATCTCATCACCAGGACGGACGACATCTCCAAGTTGAAGTATTCCGACTACAAGCCGCATCCAGACTTCCCTTTTGCGCTCAGTTGCAAGGTGCATTGGTCCAAGAATATTTCGGAAGAACGACAATGCCCTGACCAAATCATTCTTGGGTCGATGGATACCGACTTTTGTGCTATGCTCGATTGGCGAATTACATGGAGGCGTCTTCAACTACGGGTATGGCGCCGCTGGTCGGGAAGATGCATTCCTCTTTACTCCCGAAAGCGATCCTAAGTTGGCTCCCAAGCACTCAACGCAGCCTACCGCAACATCCTCAAGGCTGTCTTTTTGTCGCTCCATTTCTGGCTGTGGCGCTCCTCATTGCTGGTGTTCTTGGAGTCACAGCATTCGGAAGTTTGCTGCAACTCTGGCAAGGGGGATGGGTGCTACTGCTGACGAAGTGACATTCGAGGTCGCTGGAAGGCTCGCTTGTCTGAACGGGTTGTTGATGCCTACATTTCGCCTGAACAGCCCTGGATCGACGCTCGTGTTGCCGAAAAGCTTGCATGGGGGCTCCTATTGCCTACAAGCTAACCCGGATGCCAAGAGAGTGACTCCCGACTGGTTGATTGAGCATGTGGTGCCAAGGACGCATGCGTTTTACGACGGTGTCAACGACATTTCCCTTCACTGGCTCTGCCTCTGTTGTGGCTGCTCTTGACGAATCTTGGAGGAGAGGATGGAGCCTCCGTTCGTGTTAGGATCCAAATGCGTACGAGCGCATCAAGCCGATCTTCCTGTTGGCTCAACCCTGTGGTGAAAGTGCCTCTCTCTATTTGGACGCACAACACCAAGCTCCACATCAAGAAATCGAGCCGATGGATGGATCGAGGGGCGGTGGCGTGGCACGGCTGGTGGCACTACGGAACGACCGGCCAGGCAAGCACTCGTCAAGTTGCCAATCAGTCGCGGCAGGTGACGGTTATGCAAACGCAACACAGTACGAACGAACGAGGAGTTCTGACAAGGATTATTGCGAAGCACAACAGCTCCAGCAGCTCATAGCGCAAGAAGGTAGGACCGCGACAGTTCGGCTGCTCTTTGAGAGGTTGGTTGGAACTTGGCTTGCGCGGAGCTGACGAAACTCAATGGAATATTTGCAGGTAAGTGTGCTTGTGGCTGTTGGCTATTGCAACTATGGCTATTACTGCTGTAACTATGTATTTTTGTATCTTTTTAGGATTGCTGTTCAAGCCTCCAAGGATCAACACCTGATCAGGTAGATGGTAATCTTTTTAGAAATGGGTTGACTGTGGAAAGGACTCGCCGGAATGGCCAGACTAGCCTCAGGTACAGACAAGCTGTGGCCACCACCCCTGCTGATAGTAGGCCTGCCAAGCTAGCCAAGTACAGAAGTGTTGGCTCTGCTTGGCAAGAGTAGATGCATGGTATTGGTGGCAACAAGCCAGCCAAGAACTTCACTGCTGAAGATATCAGAGCTTGCAAGTCAACCTACTCCAGGAGGAAGCCACTCTGGACTCTCATGGCTACACTTGTCAATGCTCAGAAAGCTCCAGCTTGGGTCATCACCAAGATTGAGGATCATTACAAAGGAAGTGTTTTGAATATTACTGCTGCCATCAAGCAGGACACCATTATGGGCAGTCTGCATGAGGATCTTTGTATTGTTCGTGCTCAGTAAAGTTGACCTTAGTTTAATCAGCATGCTAGCCATGCCTAATAGTGAGTTTGTTACATGAGACTTTGTGCTTTTCGTTTTCATTTTTGTCATGGTAGCGACTTGTGCTTTTCGAATGTACTGCCAGCAAGCGATTTCGAGGACTTTGCGTTTTCGAAAACGTGCTAGTAGCTAGCTACTACTAGCTAGCTAGCGAGCGATATTTTCGAAAACGTACATGCAGGTACGGTTCGTACCCATTCGAAGTATCTTAAAACAAGGGCAAGAAGTAAATATTAGTTATCTTAAAAATGGGTGTGACGTGCGAGTGTAATGCACGCGGTGCGCGCATTGAATGACGTCGAAAACGTACATGCAGGTACGGTTCGTACTCATTCGAAGTATCTTAAAACAAGGGTAGGAAGTAAATATTAGTTATCTTAAACATGGGTGTGACGTGCGAGTGTAATGCACGCGGTGCGTTGGGCCAAGCAAGATGTGTGCTCATCCTGATTCAATCTTACAAGTACTTATCAGGTGTTCTCTGTTGACAAAGCCAAGCCCTATTGCCCCTTCGCCACCAGTTAGTTTTTTAACCACCAAGACAAGCAGTACTGTGCACTGTGCACAACATATTATATATATGTCATTTAAGTTAATTAAGGAACATGTACATTAATTAAATTTTTGATACTGTGGCAGGCTCAATACAAGGCAGTTTCGATATGTGGCAGGCTGCATACGTGGTGCTACCAGTAGCTGGTAGCCTCAATAATTAGCTTTTAGCTGGCTGGACAACTAACTACTCTTACCCACTGCTGCTAGCTACCGGTAGCTAGCTAAATCCTGCGAACTCTCCCTCTCACCCACAATGCCCAATTGGCAAAGTTGACAAAAACCAAAAGCAGCAGCCATGGCAGATGATGATGCACATGATGGTGATAGTCCAGAGATACGTGCCACTTATTTCCATGGCACAACAGATGCAACAGTTACCTTCGAGGCAGAAAATGATGCTATAAGTAAGTTTCTTGCTTGGCTTGGTTGGTCAATTGTCTCCCTGAACCTCAGCCTTTTCTTGCCTTTTCTTTGCCCAAGGGTATCACCGGCATCGATTTGATACCACAATTCGCGAACGTAAAAAGGAAGCTTCGGAACATTATGCAAATCTAACGGTGGAGCTGAGTCAACCTCCTGTGGACGTTCTGTTGTGGGAGACCTTTGTCCAAAAATTGCAAGAATCTTTTTGGATTTTATTGTAGAGTACAAAGGCCCAGAAGGAAATGATCCTACAAAAGGAATTGTTGGTGCTTTCAACCGGAACAAAAACTTGTTGGAAGCCAAGTTGGTAGCAGTTCCTGAGGTTGGAGGAGTGCAAGAGACGACTGTGGCCCAGCTTGATGGTGAGTCTATTGCTTGGCTCGGCTTGGCTTGGTATCTCCCACATCTCTCATCTCTCACCTCCTGTTCTTGCTCAAGCCTGCATGCAAGCACAGCAACAGACAGTTGACACAGCCAACGCTGACAAGAAAAAAAACGAAGTTTTATTATTTAGGCTGCACCTCAATAGACCACCCGCTGAACGGAGCCATATTGAACCGGAGTACCTCAGACGTACAAGGACGCCCACATAGGAACCGGCCTAGTGCAAGCCCCGCATGCGAAGGTTCCTTAAATCCATTGGAGGCACGATTGAAGTGCATAATGCACACATTCGCCGTTGCAGCGCGAGCAAGACTCCTACATTATGGACTGGGTGGGATGGTATGGAAATTTTCTCCGAGGCAGACCTGAAACGGATCAACTATGTGCGTCTGTACTTCCAAGTTGTCACGGTGGCTGACATCACAACGGCATGTGGCACATACATCCGGGAGGAGTTCTGGCATGGCTTTTCCAGTCCACTGATGCCTCGCACCACCTACTTCAAGAGATTTCAAGATCGACCCAGGGATCCCAAGACTGGTGGTTGTGGAGGAAAGCCTTATCCCTGTTCGCTCCGAATCTGACGTTGGATGTACCCCTGGGGAGGTGCTCGTCTCTGCTGACAAGCTCCGATGCGCCACAGGTTCTTCTACGAGGTCGATGCCAACGTCGTCTATCAACAAGTTGACAATGAAGAGTCCGAATTCTGGATGTTCCAACATCCAGTCCCGAACAATGAACGGACAGTTCATCGCTGGGAGTTCGGAGATGAGACCTACCTCGACGCCAGCATCCTACACAACTCGGTGCCACTGGATCCCTACTTCCCCCGATCTTGCACATCTGTCCAGCCAGACTCTGGGAAGCGGCGAGTCCTAGACCTGACCTCTTCAACAAGCGTGAGACAGTGGTAGTTGGTAGTGGTTTCACAGCAGGCATTCCTGCTCGTCCACTACCACCCACACCACAACATTTGAGGATTTCTTGCCACTTTGGAGCCTTGGGAAAACAGCTCTCTATGACGAGCTTGAATGGATGGTGGACGCCTACTCAGTCCTGCAGATTGTCACAGCCATGCCCTTCTGGGTAGGGCCAGCGATGGGGCTGCCGACATTGAAGCCGGTAAGGCGAGTTTTGCATGGGCCCTGGCAGACAACCGCGGCCAATTGTGCTTCGGTGTTCTGGTCCAGTTTTTGGTATGGTTCCGACTTCATACAGGGCGGAGGCCTATGGCGTTCTATCCCCTACTTGCCTTCTTCGACGATTGCTGGAGTTCTACGATCAGACCAGCATGAAGAATTATGTACACTTATGCGACAATGAGTCTGTGACGAACAAGTGCGCTAGCTGTCTCGAGTATGAGGGCTGGTACCCCAATGATTCATTGGACTCCGACTGGGATGTCTTGCAACAGATCGAGGATTCGTTCCGGCTGCAGTCACTGTGCCCAAGATGGAGCACATCAAATCGCACCAGGACAAGCACAAGGCCATCGAAACACTACCCCTAAAAGCACAACTGAACTGCAGAGCTGACAAACTGGCAGGCAGTTACATGAACAGACACATCCAACAGGATCACTCCAAGGTACTCCGATTTCGGCAAACCTGGCCCAGCTGCACCTTCCTAGAGGAACATGCACTACAAGCTCCCAGAACATTGCGGCATCTCAGGAACGACCAGCCACTGTTCGACCACATTGTCAAACTGAATCCGACTGGGACGAGGACACCCTGCACTGGTTGATTGGACAGCCCATGGTCGAGCTGTCAACGTCATGAGATCCACAAACAACAATTGTGAAGTTCTATTTCAATTGTTGCCAGTGGGAAACGGGTCCACCGGATGACCCCAAGTATGATCACCACTGTCCCGTTGTGGCGGTGATCACGAGACTGAAACCCATGTTATCGATCCCGCATGTTGACGTGGATTGTGGCGGAGGGACCATGCAACGAGCATCAAGCACAAGGTTGCGCAAGGATTCCACAGACCCCTTCCTCCTGAAATTGCTCTGGATGGACTACAATACCACTTTGAAGATCGATTCTCCACCCATGGCACTACCCTGACAGGTATAGGGACCTCGTTGACATCAAAATCTCATTGGTTGGACAACTTCCTGAGAGGATTTGTCCACGCACTGGGCTAAGCATCAAGATGCATATCTGCATCGGTCGGCTCCCAGGAG